TCTATCCGTCTATGGGATGTTAAGAATGGGAAAGAAATTTCATCCACTGACAAAAAATATAAAGATATTCTTGCTTAATTTAAAGCACCACTTTTTTAGAACAATCCTCAACCAGGTATTTATTGTATTATTATTACTTAGTCTCTAATTATTCATATCTTGTTATATCTTCATCTATAATATTGGAAGCATAAGGTGCTCTTATCTTATAAGGAGAATTTATAAACCATTAAGGAAAAGATTTAAAACCTTTATTGAAATCAAAAGGTAGTTGCTTTTTGGAAGACCTTAAGTAAAAGTGATAATTATTATTCATAAAGAACATTACAATTATTATTTTAATTTATTCTTCATATTTATTTGATTATATCTTTTTTTTGCTCTATTCTTTATTTTGATTTCTCAAAATTCATAGGGTATATTTATTGAGATCTCCTTAAAAAACACTTTTATTAATTAACATTTATAGATATTTAATGTTAAATGATACTACATTAAATTAATAATCCAAACAGAGAATAGTAAGCACAATGAAGAGATTAAAATAAATTAACAAAACTGTATGCTTATATAATCTAAGATACTATGATAGATTTACTTAATTTATTATTATTTATACTAGGGATTTTTAGTTCATAAATCATAAAGTAATATTTAATTTTAAAGAGAATAAAAAAGATATGTTAAGAATTTAAACAATAATGGTAATTCTAGAAGAAATCTAAACTACAAAAAAAAAGTTAAAACTAATAGATTCAACAATACTTTTTTTTATTTATTATTAGGTATTAAAGTATATTTGAATATAAAATAATGAAAAGATAATTAATCATCAAATAAGTATTATACCCCCAAAATTATTAATAACCATCTAATAATATTAAATACTGAATAATTTCAGCTCTATGTGAATTATAAAGACATTCAGAGGCATCTTTCAAAAAATCTTTTATAATTCTTAAATAATTAGGCATTACAATCAATTAGATAATGTATAATCACTTTTACTTTCATGATTATGTTCACAAGAAATTAATATCCATGAATTTTAGAAAACATAATTCTTGATGAATTAACTATCCAATAAGTCAAATTTACACATTAAATAACAAACTATTCCAAATTTTTGAATATTGATAGATAAATTTAGTATTTTACATATCCAACTTTATGCATATAAAATCTTAAGAATAACAACATTTCAAACCTAAAAAGAAAAAATATATCAAAATTCATATAATTTATGTTTATATTCATTTTTTTTAATACACATCTAATATACTTTATATTTTTTATTTATATATAAAAATAATTTATAGCTGAATTTGAATTTGCTGCCCAATACAATAGCTAAATCCATGGCCAATCTTCATCATAAAGGTAAAAAAATATAAATGATTAACTCATTCATACTATCCTATCTAATGCAACATATTGAATTTTGAGATTATGAAAACTTTATAATTAAAAATTGAACAATTCAATTTAATATTTTCGAGAAATGAAGCAATAATCTAAAAGGAAATTGAGTAACTGAAATTAGATATTGAAAAAGAGACTATTATATAAGGCTCTAGGTATCTATACAATTCTATCATAAATATTAGACTCCTAGAAAAAATAACTTAGAGATGAGATAATGGAAGCTATTTTATCTCTTAACAATGAAAGTTAAGTACTGAGAAGAAAAAAAATTAAAAAATCTGAGAATGAATTAAATATAAATCCTAGAATTGTAGTAGAGTAAACCACTTCATATAATATTATTTGATTAAATAAAAATCACATAAGAAATATTCAGATAATTTTAGAGTTAAATAAATTTAAACAAATTAATAATAATAAGACGAAGTTAGCTCGAACTCCTGTGAGCAGCATTATGGGGACTAATTTTTTGCAAGAAATGCAAATAAGAATCATATTAATCTTATTAATCACACAAAAAAAAATGCAATTAATAGAAGATAAATGATAAGCAAGAAATTAAAAAAGGGAGATGAAATTATTGATAATGGACATAAATATTAAACCTCCATGAATAGCACACATCACATACCGGTGGTATATTTACAGGTATACATAGAGATTCTAAGTCTTTAGATATATTAAACTTATTTATGATTAAAGATAGCTTGAATATTTGGGCCTTAAGAGCAGTTACCTAATTTGCAGGTTTAATAATTTTAATGTTACTTAGAAGTTATCCAAAATAAAAATGGTTTGATGAAACATTATCATAAATATTGAGTTAAACGAATACAAATCAATTACTCATACTGAGGGAGAATTTAACTATAAAAATTATCCTTCTATGTATTAAAGGATTCTCATATATGCTAAGGAAAGTTTTAGAAGGAAAATTAATTGTCAATAAGTTACTTTAAAATTTCACTTGATAATCAATAAAGATGTATTAGCATTAAACTAATGTATTATGAGCAAAATCTTTGATTATGCTTTAGTTAAATTAGAGTTTTAAATACATAAAAATGATGATTCCAGCGGGAAAATTAATAATTAAGAATAAATAAATAATTAGTAATAACCGAATGCAATAAACTGTCATAATCATGTGATTTTGTGACTTTTTATAATATAAACAGGAACTGAATGTTTTTTAAAGTAAATTTTAAATAACAGTGGGATACAAATGAGAAAATTGATTTTTAAGAATTATTATGTGGAGTTAACATAAAATTTTAATTAACTATTCAGAGCTGAGAGAATGGTATTTTTCAATTTAATAAAATAAACTGTTATTATGAAAAACAATAAAAGAGGAGACATATTTAGTTTATTTGTAGATTATAACTAAATAATTTTGTTGGATAGGATGTTCATATGAATTTATATTGCCTATCTAGTTCAGTCTTTTATTAACCATTGCTCTACCTTCTCTAACATATTATAAAGGTAACTTATTTGATGGTATAACACATTAATTTGTGGAAAATTGAAACTTGAAGATATGTGAGAGATGAAATGAACAGTCATTCTTTTGTAATAGAAATTTGGATGGACAAGATTAATTCGTCTCAATAAAATATATCCATAATTTCCTAATAAAAAAATAATTTCGTCTTCTTTTATTTCAAAGCCCCGATAATTAATAATGAAAAATTATCAAATTTTCATTAAAATGGAATTTTGAAATAGCAGAATGGCTTTGTAAAGGGTTATGGAACTTAGGTAAATATTCCTACTATTTCATCCTATTGGGAAATAGTACAGATATTAAGGAATAGAAATTAGCCACTTAGGCAAGATATTATAATAAATTCAGGGTATCAAGTTGAGTGCCAATTTTAAAGTGTACAAGTTGTTAATAATTTCTTGAAAAATGGATTTCAGAACTAGATTCCTTTTTATTCTTGATTAATATTCAACCATAATTTAATTATAAATTGATATCTGCATAGTTTTAAATAAAAAATTAGATAATCTTTTGAAAAATTGAGAAAATTTTTTTTAAATAACTAATATGATTACCTAAAAATATTCCTGATGCATTATATATGAGTATAATAAAACCCTATGATAAGATTAAAAGAATAAATAATTTAAAAAGCTGGAGGAATTTAATGATTGGTTTGAAAACTTATAAAGTGAATAAAAAAGTAAAAAAATATAGGAAACTATCTATTCATTGATTTGTTAAGCATATTTTGTCATAAACTGATTTGAGCATAATGAATATGAGCGATTATATGTGTGTTATTCCCTTAAATGGGATAATACCTTTACTTCTGTAAGCAGACAACATTTTCCAAAATAGACTATAATAATTATTGTTATAACTTATTTGAAATTAATATATTTTGAAAAAGCATTTGTGTTAGTATTATTTAAATAATAGTTATTAAAATATTGAATTTATATTTTATATTTTTAGCATCCTTTTATAGTTGCTTATTTTTTTTGTATATTTTTATAAAGAGAAGATTTCTAAATGATAATATTTATAATTTAACATACTTGGATTGAAAACAAGAGATAGCAAAATTTGATTATTTCGAAAAATATTTTGAATCTTTTTTTTGATAAAAACATTATGTATTCTTCTCTATATCTTGATTCAACAAAATTTTAGTTGAAGAAGGTATAAAATTAAATTTTGTAAATGATTTTATTGACGATTAAAATGAGAGATAATGATGACATTTTCTACGGATCAAATATTTTAAGATTAAATCCAGCTTAAAAAAAAAACAAGAGATAGATAATCTTTAGTATATTAAGTATCTTGAATTTAAGACTTATTGTATACCTTGCAATAAACAGGCCATGTCATTAATCGCAAAATTAAAGCGATATTGCATATGGTGACACTGATTAATTTAAATTATTCTTTTTAGATATTTGGCTTTATATAAAAATTGAAATCCTTTTCCAAAAATCAACAATAAAAGTAAAAAAAAAAAAAAGTGCATTGTTATTTTTGGGTTTATAATTTTAATTATCTTTATTTTAAAATAAAATCTGCTTATTAAAATCAATTGTTAATTTAATTTCAAGAGATCTCCAAAAGTTAAAGTTTTTTTTCATTCACAAGATAGCCTTTGTATTATAAACAAAATGAATTTCAAAATCACGTTGAACTAAGCATAATTATAAGAAGAGGTTCAATCAGCCTCAAAGATTATTTAAATAACTAGTTAAAATTAAATTAAAAAAATTAATTTTTGGCTTGACATACCTTTCAAAATTTTTTTATCATTATGGAGAGGATCAGTAAGGGACATGAAAAAATAATACTATCTAGATTAAAGATAAAAAACCAGGTAATAATAAACTTCTTACATAATAAAACTGATTTAGACTTAGGCTCAATTTAGTGGATGATATTTAAATTTACATCCTAGTTTCTTCGAGCCCTCTTATAGGAAGCCAAATGCGAAATTTGTGAAATAAATTGGGAGATATAGAATTCTTTCATATTAGTTTCGAGAAAGAAAAAACTTCCCTCTAACAATATTTATTAAAAAGACTGTAGCGATTGAAATGATAATTATGGAATTCAATAATTCTTAAGTTATTAAAAAAAAAAACTTCAAAAATATGTCTATAATCCTAATCAATTTTCATCAACCTATAATTAAGTATAATTAAGTATTGCATAATTGCATTAGACATTTCATAAATATATAGGATGAGATATTATGGAGGATGAACCAATACGGAAGTTTGAATACAGATTAGAGCAACTTTTGATTTAACTGAACTCAAATATTTAAATTCTTATAGAATACTTATTGGAAGGTTGGAATTAGACTTAAAGTATTAAGTTAACCTTTCTCATTGAGGATGGTACCGCAAAAAATAGCTCATCCTAATTTAATTATGAAATCTATCAAATGGGGAAAATTCTACTTGATAAATTTTTTCTATTTGGAAGATATTTGATTTCAGAAACCCATTTTCTAATTTTATAAAAACTTAATAAAATAAAAAAGAGGTCAAGATCCTTATAAATTATTTTAAATTAATTATATAAAGGTTTTGAAGAAGTGATTAGAAAGAGGAAAAGATTCAATACTTTCCACAAACTGGATATTTTGATATCTAAATTAAAATTGGTTTAAATGTAAAGTAGAGTTTATTTACTAATTGTAGAATAAAAAAGTATCATTAAATCAATTTTCCATACCCTATCACTTTTTTAAGGGCATTATTTAATAATTAAAAATGCTTTAACTATTGAATTATTTTATTTTTTTTATTTTTTTATATTTTTGAATTTTTATTTGAATATTTTCTGAATACTAATTCCTAATCTTAAAAAAATTATATTTTTTCAATCTTCACTCATAATGACTGTAGGATTTTCTTGATTAAATTAAATCGTTAATGCTCTGCTAATTTAATTTGAATAGTGCTGTAGTTATAATTCTTACCTTCCCTTATTGAATCAAAAGAAATTAATTTATTAGTCTCCTCATTTATTCAGAGGAGATGATTTATGAACATTTATTATTTATTTTAAAATCTATTTATCTCATCTTTAACATTGAATACTACAAATTGCACTTCGGTAAATTATTAAATTAAGCAATGAATTCAATTTTAATTCTTCCTAAATTTGCAAAGATATTTTGGATTTGACAACAGATTAGAGTATGAGATATTATGTTGTAATCCTAAAAGCTTTATAGAATTAGACACTACTTGAAAAAATTTAGGGTGAATAGACTTTTTGTGTGATTAAAATAAATCTTGATTATCCTTAATTTTGTATCAGGATTTTTATAAATATTCCCAAAGCAATTAAGATTTAAGAGTTATCAATTTTATAGCAATTTTAGCTTATACATTTTTGTCTTTTAAATTTACTTTTGAGAGTGTTTTGTAGATGAATGGTGAAATTATATTTATTATACCTTATATATCAATAATTAAAGTTTTATTTATATTTTATATCTATAAGTCACATAATAATTGAGTTACATCTTTTCACATTCTCCCATTTCCTTTAACAAATTTCGTAAGTAAAGTTACGACTCTTAACAAATATAAAAATTAAGAGAAAATATATAATTTAATTATATTAATATAATTAGCAATTTGATTTATGATTTCCTTAAAACTTTTCTAAAAAACGAGTAAAATACTATTTTTTAATTTATAATTTATATAAATAATTTAAGCAAAAAACATCTCAAAGATTTAAAAATTTGGGTTAAACTGCAAAGTATTAGAGTTAAACCTAAATTATTTGATTACTATTTAAGAAAGTCCATCTATCATATTTTGATTAATTAGAATATCAAATTTACCAAAAGTAAAATTATTACCAATGATTTCATTATAGTATATACTATTCTACAAACCTTCTTAAATTACTCTTTCATATACTGATTTTAGAAGGTAAATTTCACTATGAGTAGTTGAAAAAATAAAGTTTGCACATTTAGATTTTAAATATACAAATATTGGATTTAAGTCATCTTGCCAGTAATAAATGATTAATAAAGTTCTATTTAAAAAATGAGGATTATTAATCCAAAAGTTCTAAATTTTATTCACCCTTATTTTTTGAGTCAATTCTTTAATAAGCCTGGATATTTAGTTATAAACATGAAAAATAATCATGAAAGTATTATGTTATTTTTCCTAAACTACATAATTTAAGATATAATCAAAATTGAATAGTTGAAAAATATCAGAATAATAATAAGGAATTTTATTTATGAATAGGTCAGAGATAGAAAAGAATTTAATTTCAGATAACATTATCCCAATATTCTATTGATTTTTGGTATAATTACTTTTTTAGTTTATTTTTTTCAAAAAAAAGGTATATACTAATTTTTTTTTCTTGTAAAATAAAATTAGTATTTTGCTTTCTTACCTAGAGGATCATTTAGTTTATTTAAAAAGGGACATCGCCAAAAACTACAGGATATTTTGTTAATATTATCCCCTAAATGTCCTATTTCTGATAAATTGAACAGTATTCGGCTATAGTAATTTATACAAAACATTGTTAAATACAATGCCTTTGATAATTTAAGTTTATTAATTTAATTTTCTAGCTTATTGCTAGGATTCTATAATGACAATTTGCAAATTTAACAGGTAATGAAAATGGAATCAAAAAAAGAAATCCTAATATCATATTTTAGTCAACCTATACAGATTTAAACAAATTCAAACTAAATATCGATAGAATTGGGGGATTGTAAATAGTAAATTTTATTCAATTTCCAATAAAAAAATTATTTAAATAAATGAGTTTAGATTTATGATGTTAAAATTGAATGAAAAAATTAATACAATTGAATAAATAGAAAAGCACAAATAATTCTTTAATTAAACAAGTAGTATTCATTATTTGATAGTTTTATATAAACTATAAGGAATCTACTCCTTTGATACATGGAATTTCAATTAATGAAGATCAAATAAATTGACATTTTTTGGATACAATAAATAAATCTTAGTAATTGAAAGTTCTAATAAAAGGATTTTAAAGTCAAGTGGAAAATTAAGTTTGATTTCGGATTCTGATTAAAATTAACAATGATCATACATTTGCATCTTAACCATATTAAGGAGAGTAACTAATTTTTCAACTTATGATTTACTCTCTTGATAAAACATCATTCCCTCTAAATAAATTCTTATTTCTAGATTTCTAATAATAAAGAATAAGAATTTTATATTCTTTAAGAAAATTTCAGAAATTGAATATGATAGACAAGTTAATGTGAGTGGTTTTAACAATTGATAAATAAATTAACATTGATTTATTTATTCAGAACATCATACATCAAACTTCATCCTAAATTTATTTTTTTTATTTTAAGAAATTCAACTGAATTAGAATTAATTATCAAGGAGAATAAAAATAGAACACATAAAATGATTGTTTCAAATATATTTTAAATTTTATATCAACCACAATGAAAAACGATAAACCATTTAGTATTATTCTGCAGTCTAAACCATATACGCTCTTTATTCTCGTAATCTTCTAACAATGCTAAATATTGATAACTTTGCTTCTTTTTAATCTAATAATTATTTAATTTAACAAATAGACAAAAATGTTCCAGTCCTACCGATTCCAGCGCTGCAATGGACAACAGTCATTTTATTGGTCAAGATGGAACTATTAGCTTAATTTGCCAAAAAATCAATGAGAACAAAAGAATCTTCATTAACCACTCCAAGATCAGGCCATCCATTCCATTAATAATGGTGTATTAATTTTTCTTATTACTGGAATTTTATTATAAATTAATTCGATATTAAACCACATTTTAATTCTTCTGATTTTTTCAGTTTTACTTCATAAGGTCCATAATTATTTGATATATCTGGCCAGTATTTCTCACATTATTTCTAATTATAAAGAATATTTACATAATTATGATCATACAATTTGCAGAGCATAATTATCAATCCTACCTCGTTTGTCCAAATCATATGCCAAAAATCATTAACAGTTGAATGGATTGGGCCCTAAGTAGCAATATATTTCTTATCAATGTTATCTATTCCTCTAATATAATTTGCATTAATGTAAAATNTTTGGATACAATAAATAAATCTTAGTAATTGAAAGTTCTAATAAAAGGATTTTAAAGTCAAGTGGAAAATTAAGTTTGATTTCGGATTCTGATTAAAATTAACAATGATCATACATTTGCATCTTAACCATATTAAGGAGAGTAACTAATTTTTCAACTTATGATTTACTCTCTTGATAAAACATCATTCCCTCTAAATAAATTCTTATTTCTAGATTTCTAATAATAAAGAATAAGAATTTTATATTCTTTAAGAAAATTTCAGAAATTGAATATGATAGACAAGTTAATGTGAGTGGTTTTAACAATTGATAAATAAATTAACATTGATTTATTTATTCAGAACATCATACATCAAACTTCATCCTAAATTTATTTTTTTTATTTTAAGAAATTCAACTGAATTAGAATTAATTATCAAGGAGAATAAAAATAGAACACATAAAATGATTGTTTCAAATATATTTTAAATTTTATATCAACCACAATGAAAAACGATAAACCATTTAGTATTATTCTGCAGTCTAAACCATATACGCTCTTTATTCTCGTAATCTTCTAACAATGCTAAATATTGATAACTTTGCTTCTTTTTAATCTAATAATTATTTAATTTAACAAATAGACAAAAATGTTCCAGTCCTACCGATTCCAGCGCTGCAATGGACAACAGTCATTTTATTGGTCAAGATGGAACTATTAGCTTAATTTGCCAAAAAATCAATGAGAACAAAAGAATCTTCATTAACCACTCCAAGATCAGGCCATCCATTCCATTAATAATGGTGTATTAATTTTTCTTATTACTGGAATTTTATTATAAATTAATTCGATATTAAACCACATTTTAATTCTTCTGATTTTTTCAGTTTTACTTCATAAGGTCCATAATTATTTGATATATCTGGCCAGTATTTCTCACATTATTTCTAATTATAAAGAATATTTACATAATTATGATCATACAATTTGCAGAGCATAATTATCAATCCTACCTCGTTTGTCCAAATCATATGCCAAAAATCATTAACAGTTGAATGGATTGGGCCCTAAGTAGCAATATATTTCTTATCAATGTTATCTATTCCTCTAATATAATTTGCATTAATGTAAAATTATTCATTTACATCTGATTTTACAATAGTGTGTATACCTTCATTAATTCATTTATGATTTACATGGTAATATATCTATATATCTATTCAAATGATGAATTTTTTCATTCCAAAAGAATAATTTCTCATGTTCTTAAGTCTCTGTTATTTAACATAAATAGCTAAATTCTTTTTCTAATCTTCTTTAATTAAAGGATTTGACAAACTCTTGTAAATTTATTGCCATTTCGTATTTCATAAACTAGTTATCATTCTATTTATATGACAAATCAATATGAAGTTATTCACTTTCTTTTTAAGGGTTCATTAATCAATTAGCAATTAATTACTTTTAAATATTGTCTTATTTTTAAAAGTCAAATTTTGTAAAAACAAGAAATTTAGGAAATAATTTTGCCGAATCTTATTTCTAAATGCAGTTAAATTGAAATATATTTTAAATCTTTTTTGTTGTTGCTCATTAATATCTGCTGCAAATAGATTAGTTTCATAATTTATTCTTGAATATTAATAATTCTAATTCAACTTATTAATTATACAATCTATTTAGGAGCAAAAGTATAAAAGGGTTAAAATTCCTCTTTGTCATATGAGAATGAATATCAAAATCCTTAATTGTAAGTTAAACCACCAAATTGAGCTGATTTAATAGCTAATGATTCCCACTTTATGCTTAATGCTTTTCAACCCAAAACTATCCTGAACAATTAGATTATAGAATATTACTCAATAATATATATATGATTTAAAAAGTGTAAATTTTTAATTCTCTTTTTATTGCAGATTTGTTGAATTATCAGAGAAAGATGCCTTTTTCTTAAAATTTTGTAAACAAATGCTAGCGCTTAAAAAGTGTGATTTAATCTTTTCATTATATTATGAATCGGCAAGACATAAAGCTTGATCACTATTATTGTTGGACCTTGAAAGAATGTTATTTTCTACTTTATTCTTTGATAAGCCCATTAATTTTTTAAAAATCATTTTTTGTTGATAAATTTTTGAAAAACTAAAAAACTTTTATTGTTATTCAGTATTTTAACATAAAAAGTATATTTAAAATCTTCAGATATACAAAACTAAAGTATTCTCAATTGCTTTTTGCCTATAAGAAAAATTATATAACATAGATTTTTAGTATCAATATTAATTTGAAAAATAAGAATAATTAATTTATCAACATAAATTTTAACAAATATAATTTTTTGTTATTTAATGAAAATATATTTTATATTATATCATATTATCCATATCTAGTAAAAATATTTAATGATCAAAATGCAACATAAGTTATATAAACTGATTATGTGTGATTGATTTTATCATTGAATTCAAATCCTAATAAGAATATTATTTTTAAGCTTCGATTTTATGCAGAAGTTTATAGATGCGTGAAAATAGAGTTGTCTTATAAAACTGTTTCATTTTTAAATCAGATTAGCTAATTTTCATTTAAATACTAATAATAAATACGTTAAATTGCATTTATTTATATTGAAATATTAATTACATAATATAGAAACAAGATAACTTATTTTAGGCCTATCAATAATATAATATAATATTGATTTCAATCTATGTTAAAAAGATTTTTAACTTAATTTTGAATCAGAAAATTGTAAATAAAATTATAAAATAAATTGTTTTTGAATTACTAATGATGGATAAATACAAATATGGTATTTCATTTGACTCATGAACTAGCTTAATCATTATATAGATCCAAAAATTACAAACACTCTTTTATAACAACATAATTATGTTGTAGAGTTAAAGTTTAGCATATTTGGGAGTAGACAAATCTGAATAATGAATCTGAAACAGTAAAAAGTGCAGCCCTGCTATGTAGATATGATGATAAAGGTTTAATTAAATTCATCAAGAGAGTAATTGATTCAGCAGATACTTATACATATGAATAGCAGAAATGGTTACAAAAGGCAATATAAAAAATTTATAATGAATCATATTAAGAGTTGTCTCTTCATGAAATTCGTTTTTTGATAAAAGAAATATAAAAAGAGCATGAAAATAATAACAAAACAAAAACCATATGTTGTCTTTAACTTTTGTGTTAAATTTTGATTGGACTAGGAAGAATAGATGAAGCACTATCAATTTGGCCATCCTTCATTGGCTTAGAACCTACCTAATTGGTTGGCTATCAGAGATAAGGTATATATATATAAATAATATAATCAACAGCATATTTATTAGCTAAATTGAAAGACAAGGAATCAAGTATTGAAGTTTGGAATCAGTATTTAATTAATAACAAAGAAGAAGAATTCACATATTGTCAATAAAAAGGTATATTTTAGACAAGAAACTTTAGCTTAATTCCTTTTTATTCAATTCGAGTAAATGGATGAAGCAGTTTAAGTATGGAATGATTACATTCATAAAAACCCTAATTATCTAGATGCATATATTAAAAAAGGTAATTTGATAAATAAAATAATAATATTAGCTGATCTATTACATTAGATGTTTGACATTGAAGGAGCAATAGCTGTGTATGATGATTACATAAATAAACATTAAAATGATTACAAGGGATATAGAATTAAAGGTAAATATAATTAAAATATAATTAAGCTGACTTTCTTGTGGCCTTGAATTAATTTGATGATGCAATAGAAGTTTGGGAAAGATATTTGTAATTATTTCCAAAAGATAGAAAAGCTTATGAGAAAATGGGTATTATCTCTTTTATTATAAATAGTGATGGTAGTGAATCTTAAATACTAATGATATCAGCATACAATTAATTTTAATTTATTATTATAAATAGATGAAGTAATTACTTCAATCCAAATTAGTATAATAAATATATATAATTTTATATAAGTCATAATAAATTATATACTCAATATAACCATCGAAATATTAGTTTAATTCTATTTTTCATGTTTTGATTTTACAATACATCTTGGGGAATTAACACTAATATTTATCTAAGTGATATCATTTTTTTTTATTCCAAGAATATCCATATAGAGGTTACACATAACATAAAAATGAAATAGCTTTAAAATTATTAATATATTATACAAAGATCCTAATACTAAATAGTAAATTTCCATTAAGTTAATAATACTTTGGGCAATATTGGAATTATCAGCTTTAAACAAAGTCAAAAAATCCAAAAAAGTATCTTATGTATCACAAAAATATGATAGAAAATAATTTTAAAAGGATTGACTTTAAATTGTAACACTGTTTTCATCTTTGCTATTATATTAAAGTAAATTCATTTCTTAATTATAATCTTAATCTATGTATTTTACTAAGGAGGCTGTATAACCCAAGATTCCATTTACAACTAGATTTTGTATTGAATCTTTCCTTATAACTTATAAAGATGTTATTTACCTAGAATAAGACAGATGCTATTTAGAAGGATCACAAGATTGAATCTCTTCCCAAGCTTTTATTTGGCAAATATCATCATTTAAGAAACTATCAAATGAACTCACTTAATTATTTTTATTTGCATTTTCTAAAATTGTAGTTGATACTTCGTTTATTATTTATAATAATGAATTTTTACATTCTTTAAATAAGAGTAAAGTTTCTGTTTAATTAATTTAGGATAGATTATTGTTTGCTAACAAATTTTCTGTTTTAATAAGACCTCCAAAAAGACTTACAATATCCATTTTGATTCTAAATTATCCATATTTTAAAGTGGCATGTAGGGATGGTTAAAAATTATCATTATTTTTGACAAATAATAAATAACTAGTTAATATATATGTGATCCAAATAATAATAATCCAAATAATAATGATGTAATTAATTTTTGTTATGTGTGTAGTTTTTTTAATTCTTGAAGTTAGAGATGATTCAGAACTATTTGGTTTGCCAGAAAATTCAATTTATTTCTACTTGACTCTCTTTTTTCCTTCATTTTCAATCATTATCTAAGAAAAGTTCTCTATTTTCCAATTTTAAGAATTCTTAATATCCAAAATTGATTTAATAGCCATCAATTTAACTATTTATTCAACTGCTTAATTTTCATTTAAATGAGACACTAAAAATAGGATGGACTTTTGTAATTTATCAATGAAAACCCAATATTTTAATTGAATCACTATTAAAAGCAAAACAAGAAATAATTAAATGAGTATCAATTTTTCAAAATTTAATACTATCTAATTTTAAGATGAAATAGTATCTTCAATGATTTAAATAACTAAGTGATTTATTTAATTAGCTACTTATAAAATATTTAATCTAATAAATCCAGATGTATATAATTCTTCATAATGTGGATTAGGAGAATTTAGGTTCATTCTATAAGTAGACTCTGTAACTTAATTCAACATAATATAAAAATTCTCAACATTAGTAGTAAAAGTATTTAGGATATTATTTGTTACTTATTTAATCTCAAACTCTTTTATTCCTTAATCTTAGGCTAATTATGGAACTTTTATATTTAAATGCTTTAAATATATTCTCCCATTTTCAAACATCGAAGCAACTGTTTCCAAATTTCTTTGTTCTTAAAATTCACTGAGTTTGATAACATTTTATTATTGCAATTAAATTGACCATAATTAATAAATGACAGAAGAATAATAATAAGTTATGTTTTATGGTTCTAACAAATTCATTACTCCTGTTGTTTATTATTATAGATTTTCTACAACTACTAAATAGTCTGCCAATGATATTACTAAAATACAAATCAACATCATAACCAAAATCATGACAATTTTTTATAGTGGCAAGATAAGTTAAGTTTTGGAATATATTTATTCAACTAAAAATTAAGTTTCTTTTTAAGTTGAACAAACTGATGATCTTGATGGATTAGATGCAAAATCATTGTTTTCTTCTTTTTTATTTTCATAAAATTATAATTTTTCTCTTAATTAAGACTTGCTTCTACTTTTTTCATCTTTTTTTTTACTAATTTGAAGATCAAGTTTAGAATGTTTCTATTTTTTCAACTTAAATTATTAAAATTGCAATTACCTATTCATTATGATCATTTAAATCAATATCTTCTATATTATAATTTTCAGAAAATTTGGATTTCAATACTAATGGTCCTAATTATGTTCTATATGTATCCATTTAACCTTATGTTTCTGATGATCTTAAGGGAATCTAATTTTTAATCAAATGCTATTCAAAACTTTGATTAGCACTACTGAAGTTCAAGTACTCATTTTCCTTTTAACCCTCAGGTTCAGGAGTATCATTTACTGCCTTAAATTCTTATTTTACTTCACTATTTACATCATATTACTCTTATTTGTTCACACAAGTAATAGATTAAGGTTAAGGGGGATTTTGGGATATTTAATCATCTACAATTGCTGATCTAAAATTTTATTCATTATGAACAGAATTAGAAAAGACCGATTAAGTAGATAAGACTTTAAATTCTGTTAAAATCAATACAAAATAACCGATTTTCTTTTGTTAAATTTCAAAAGTATTAAATTGTAAATCATATTAAAGTGCTAATTGAAATTAAGATTTTGATACATCTCCAAAATCTACAATTTCAATTAATTAGGATTATAAATATGGTTAAAGTAAAATGATAGGAATTCCATCAATTTCTTTATCATCCAATTCTACATGTTTTGTATCATAAAATGTTTAACGACTTCTACTTACATCAAATTTTTATTTCAATATTGATAATTAAGGAATTCTTTTTTTATAAGATCTCTCATAATAAGAATTTTGAATTTTAAAAGGTTCCAATAAGTTTTAAGTTGACATTAAACATTACTAATGATTACTTGGAATTATCCAAGTAGATTTTTAATTAGTTAACTAATAAGATTTAGTCTTTGAATATTACTTTACTAATTCTTATATCTAAAACATAATATTTGGAATATAATATTGGATTAAAGGTTTTTTTTCTAAAAAAGATTTTATGTTTGATTCATCTTTTGAATTGTTAATTCTTTTTTCATTTCTAAATATTTTCATAAAGTGATAATTAGATTTAGCAGCGCTTTCATAAAACTATTTAGTTAATCCATGAATTGATCCATCAACACCAAACAATATCATATCATTTTATTATGTTTTACTCATAATAATATTCATCATGAGATCATTATTTTCTGTATCAAAATGAGGATATATATTGATAACACAAGGTTCTATATACCCTTTTGAATTTTAAATGTATGTTTTCTTGCTTGTTTTTTGAGTCTACGTATAACCCTATATTATATATTTATTAATTAGTTCATCATGAATATCAGATAAAAATTATGGCATTAATTAGGAACAATGTTTAATTAATTTAAGATCTTCTTCTTGTTCATCTAAGAAGCAAGACAGTTTCTTTGTATCTAAATTAATAAATTCTCCTCTATTTTTTATTAAACTTGATTAAAATATAAATACTCTATCTATTATAAATCTATTATTTACTTTAAATTAATTAAATACTACTTAATGGCTCATCTTAACGAAATCTTTCATTTTTCAATTGTTCTTCAATTTTCTTTTCAATTTTAAAAGATAGATATTAATTATTATAAATAGAAGAATAGTATATTTATATAATTCTCATACTTAATGTCTCAAAGATGATGGAATTTTATAATCTTTCATTTATCATATCATACTTTTGATTCATTAATTACTTACACTATATAATATTTTAAGAAAGAGCAAGAGCTTCATTAATGTAAGTATTAATATTATCATATCCTTTTATTAAATGATTATAAAAGTTAATCTTTTACATGATAACTTTTTCAAAAATAGGGAAAAATGATTCCTATGAAAAATAGCATTCAAAAACTGTTTTCGTTCTTAATTATTTAGTAATATTCTCTTTTTTTTAACGAAATACATCTTTTTCAGATAATTCAAGTAATAAATCACTTTGTTATTTTAAATACTTGATTAAATTTTAAGAAGTTCCAATGAAATACAAATTTCTGGTTTAAATTCGTAGTAATTTTGTTAAGGATTTAATTGGATATTTTTCTGATAAATAATTGCAATATTAAATTAAGTAATTTAATTCTGATGTTCCTCTTATGATCCTTTTGAATAAACAATTTATCATATTAGAAGGTTATTTACATTTGGAACATCTATGCAATTTGAATGCAATAGATGTGAGGATTTAATTTTCTTTTAAATTCCCTTTATTTAATGATATATAAATTAACTTAATTATAATTAAATGTGATACCTAAAGTGTTATGATATTAGTTTGATTCTAAGTCATTATGTACTTCAATCTTAGTCTATGTTAAATTTATATGGTGATATATAAGAAAATGGAAACTAATAATATATATTCACAAATATAAATTCCAATAAATAGACCAAATATTGTAATTATAGAAACTACTTTTATCAATACATGAATGAAACAATTATTCTTATTGATTTATTATATAATGGATATTCCTTACTTTAAAAAAACTAAAATCACTCTAATTATTTATTATTATTTATAAATCTTTAAAATAACTGAAAGAATCATTAAAATTTCCTTGATTATATTATATACCATTTAGTTTTCTAAAACTATAATATTGTTATCTCCTATTAATGTTTATGACCTTGAAAAATATAAATGGATTAATTTCATCAATATACATATAGAGAGATTTAAAGAACATGAAATTATCAAAAAAATCCCATTTGAGTTTTGTGTAATAAAAGTTTGATTCCCTGTTGCTACTTCATAAAATATTTCCAAAGAAGAATATATTACTGGTGTATATATCAAAGAAGTGTAATAGATA